GGCAGCCCCACTAAACACCCTGGGTGACATAGTGCTGGGACAGCCAAATGCATCCCGTGTGAAGGTGCAGGGACTCGGAGAGGACACTGGGTGCTGGCCCTGGTTCCCCTAGACTCTGCCCTGGCCCCCTTCCCTGTGCCAAAAGCCCTGCCTCCTCTCACTGTAGTCAATGACAGGCACGAACAGCACTCTTCCAAATTCACTGCCCTGTGGGTGGCCATGGGACTCTGGCACAGCGGAGAAGATATGGAGGTGACATTCAACAGCCAGTCAGAGGGATGCCCACCCTGGCATTGGGCAGGATGTTAGCCCAGGATGGGGAGAGACCAGAAGTTCCTAGTCCTGCCAGGAGGGCAGTCGGGGCAGCCACCGTGAGAATTTAACAACCACACAGCCACAAAGAGCTCATCGTGTAACTAGAAAGAAACCCTGTGGCAGTGAGCTTCACAGAAACAAGGCTGTACACTCAAAGCAGGTGGAGGACTGAAGAAACTGAGGCAGCAGGCATAAGGGATATTAGCTTGGAGACATTGTAAGAATGAGACAGCAGCCCACAAAAAAATGAACGTTAGGCCAGGCACGTTGGCTCACACTTATAATCCTAGCACTTTGGGAGGCTGAGACCGGTGGATCACGAGGTCAAGAGATCAAGACCATTCTGGCCAAAATGGTGAAACTCCACCTCTACTAAAAATACAAAAATGAGCCAGGCATTGTGCATGCCTGTAATCTCAGCTACGTGGAGGGCTGAGGCAGGAGAATCACTTGAATATGGGAGGCAGAGGTTGCAGTAAGCCTAGATTGTGCCACTGTGCTCCAGCCCGGTGACACAGCAAGGCTCCATCTCAAAAAAAGAGAGAAACCACCACCATTTGCAGGACTGTATATGAAAAGGAAAAAAAATGTACAAAGTTAAATGGATGCTGTAGAAGAACCACCACCTGTTCAGCTGCTGAGCACACCATCTTTCCTAACTCAGCAAAAGAACCCCCACTCCGGGAAAAACTAAAAGCGAACTGCTGTTTCCAAAATGCATTTTTACGGTTGGAAATCTGTGTTTCCCAAGCCCTCCTTCCAGTCCTTGGCACTGTGACAAGCGTTTCTCACCCCTGGGGACCTGGGGCTGGAGATGCAAAAGGGAAAGTCACCAAGGCTGAGTTTTAGCTGTCTACATCCTTGCAGCCAGGGCCAGAGGGCCATGAGGGGTTCCCTAGCTCCTGCCGTCCATGCTGGACTCACAGGGCATGGCTCTGCTGAAGTAGCTGGGCTTACCTCCATGAAGTGATTGCTCAGGGAGGGCCCTGAGTCATTCTTGAAGGTCTGGCTGACACAGAGATACCTCTTGTTGCTGCCTTTATCCCAGTGCTTCCCATAGCTAGCCTCCAGTTCAAGTGATTCTCCTGCGTCAGCCTCTGGAGAAGCTGGGATTACAAGCACCCACCACTACGCCTGGCTAATTTTTGTAGTTTTAGTACAGATGGGGTTTCACTATGTTGGGCAGGCTGGTCTTGAACTCCTCACCTCACTATCCACCCACCTGAGCCTCCCAAAATGCTGGAATTACAAGCGTGAGCCACTGCATCTGGCCTTGTTTTTTGTTTTGTTTTGTTTTGTTTTAAATTAATTATTGGTTTATTTTAGAGATAAGATCTCACTCTGTTGCCCAGGCTGGAGTACAGTGGCACCATCTTGGCTCATTGCAACCTCTGCCTCCTGGGCTGTAGCAACCCTGGATGAATAGACATAAGACTGAGGCTGAAGTGCCAGCCCTGGATCCATTCCTATATGGCTATGATATTGGGAGCAAGTTCATCTCTTTGGGGGTGAGCTCAGGGTACTCAGATCACCACTTGCCAGACTCTGGCGCTCTCTCTCAATGTCCCACCTGGCCTGGGCACCCACCTTGTGGCTGAAGGCTGGGGTCTGTGTGCAGTGGAGCTCGTGGCCCAGCTCCAGCCTGTAGGCACTATCTGAGCCACTCTGTGTCTGCAGTCTCTGGCTGGTGCCGCACTGGTGCACTGGCTGCTTTGCCTGAGCTGTGAGGATCGATTAAGGGACCCCTGCCCTCCTCTGCCAGGCAGCCCTCCACCAGGGCTCCAAGAGGAGGAGGGCCCAGCCCAGCCTGGCCTCAGCTGTGTTCTCCCAGCACTGTGCTCTGCTTCACCTGTCACTCCATTGGAACCTGACCATGGGTAGGCCTTAAGAGATGGATCAATATCTCCTCAACAGACATACTTTTTTTTTAAATGAGCAGATACTAAGTCCTACTCAGAGCCCACAGAATGACTAATGGAAAATCCTGTGATGACAGCCTATCTTTGCTCACAGAGCCACAGTCACAGGAAGCAGGGCAGGCCCTGCCACCTCCACCTGCCCCGCAGCCAGGCATGTGGTGTCTTACCCAGGAGGCTGTACTGGATCCTCAGGGAGTTGGTCCAGGGCTGGCCCCACTGCTGCAGCAGGCCAAGGGCACGCAGCCCCGCCAGCCCTGACATGAAGAGCTCGGCACCCAGGGCGGCCACCCACCGTCCATCCTCCTCCTTCATTTCCAGCAGTGCTGCAGGGACAGAGAGCAGGCAGGTGAAAGGTCAGCCCCCAGGGACCAACACCCCCAACCCCAGGCAAAGAGGGGACTCGGGATACCCCAGGGGTCTTGGGATTGGAGGCTCCTTGAAGAGTCAACACCTGTGCCCTGCACAACCGGCCACGGACAGGCCTGATCATGGCTCACTGCAGCCTTGACCTCCCAGACTCAATCGATCCTCCCACCTGAGCCTCCCAAGTAGCTGGTACTACAGACATGTGCCACCACCTTGGCTAATGTGTGTGTGTGTGTGTGTGTTGGTAGAAACAGGTGTGTCACTATATTGTCCAGGCTGGTCTTGAACTCCTGGGCTCAGGCAATCCTCCTGCCTTGGCTTCCCACAGTTCTGGGATTGTAAGCATGGGACACTGTGCTTGGCCCAAGAATAAAATAGAATAAGGCCAGGTGCAGTGGTTCATACCTGTAATACCAGCACTTTCGGAGGCCAAGACCGGCAGATTTCCTGAGGTCAGGAGTTTGAGACCAGTATGGCCAACATACTGAAACCAAGTCTCTACAAAAATACAAAAAAAAAAAAGAAAAAATAATAATAATAACCAGGTGTGGTGGTGGGCACCTGTAATCCCAGCTACTTGGGAGGCTGAGGCAGGAGAATCACTTGAACCCAGGAGACAGGGGCTGTGGTGAGCCAAGATTGCACCATTGCATCCAGTCCCAGCAACACTGTGAGACTGTCTCAAAAAAGAAAGAAAAAAAAGAATGAAAATCAAATAGGACCAATGACAAAAGAATTAACCACACATCATGGGTTGTTGAGTAAATTTCACCTTCTGAAGCTTCTGCAACACTGAAGGTCATCCAGAACACACAGGTGGAAATGGGCCAGCTGTTATGACTCCCAAGCACCCACAGGAGGTGGCCAACAGCCACCGCTCCAAGTGCCCCCAGCTCCAGCTCCTGTCCTTATCTTGGAATCTTTCAGAACACATAAGTGGCACACCCAGGCGTCACCACCTTGGCTCTGGCACAGGGCCAGCACCTGCTCAGCCTGTGTGTGTGTGTTTTAAATGCCCCGTGTATTTTAGGTCAAAATGTTACATGTGTTTCGTATCATGGATGAGAATAAAACCCCGAAATCTGCTATTTTAAGGTTTGTGGGGGCAGTTGGAAGTTTTGGGAGGTTCTGGGGACTCATGTTGATCCTGCATCTGTCCTTAGATGGGATGTTGATATTGAGAGGCTGGGGTGATAAGAACGATCAGGAGGCATTTGTACCACATCCTAGCCTGCTCACGGAGGAGACGGGGCACAAGAGGTCTCATCTCCTACCTGTCATGTGGGCCTGGTCACTCAGCAAATGGCTCAGCGATGTGGAGAGGTCAGCTTGCTGCCCGCCTGCCACGTCAGGTTCCCTGTAAAGATGACAGGGCTGCCCCCATCACCATTTTCATCTCCAGCTGCACCTGGAGCTGCTCGGCCTTGCCAACCATGGGTGGCTGCAGGTCACTCTTGCCCTGAAAAGGCCTTCTTGTCACCTGGAATGACAGGCTTGGCCAGCAAGCTCAACCATGATCACACAAGCTGGGACCGAAGAGAGGACAGGAGACAGCCCAGCTAATGGCTTTCTATGCCAATCCTTCCCCAGTTTTTTATTTTTCTTGAGACAGTGTCTCACTCTGTCACCCAGGCCGGAGTGCAGTGGCAGGATCCTGTTTCACTGCAACCTTGGCCTCCCAGGTTCAAATGATTCTCCTGCCTCAGCCTTCCAAGTAGCTGGGATGACAGACACACACCACAGTGCCCAGCTAAATTTTCTATATTTTTAGTAAAGACAGGGTTTTGCCATGTTGGCAAGGCTGGTCTAAATCTCCTGAGCCCAAGTAATCCACCCGCCTTGGCCTCCCAAAGTGCTGGGATTACAGGTGTGAACCACTATGCCCAGCCCTTCCCCAATTTTTTAAACTCTGGATTTCTCAAAATTAGAAACCTGTGTTATAAACTCAGGCATAAATACAAAGGACTTCTCTTCTCTCCTTGACAACCCCCTCGTTGGATCCATCAGGAACTCAGTCAATCATCGCTGTGGAATGTGACTAGAGTCAACCCCAACTGCCACCTCCGCTGCACACCAGCTCCAGCCCTGGTCATTGAGCCTGTCTGACTGCAACATCCTCCTGTCTCTCCTGGCTCTCATCCTGCTGCTGGCAACCGATCTCCAGGTGGTGACCAGACACGTCCAATGATGGCACAGTAGCATTTCTTACCGTACAATCCAAAGTCCTTGAGGCCCTTGAAGCCAGAATTTTGTTGGTCACTGGTGCAGACACTGGCAGGTGAGCCACGGAGACAGCTCACTACACTCCAAGGCCCCACACAGGAGATCCTCTGGAAAAGCCATGAGCAACTACAAATGCCATGTTTGACAGACCCAGCAACTTGCAGACACACCCCACACACTCCTCTGACAGCCACTAGCTAGTCAGCTCACCCAAAAGATGTCAAAACAATACTCGCTATTACCAGACCGTCACTACTTAATGCTGTGTTTCCCTGATCCCCCACCGACATGTGTGCCGATGTGTGCATACGAATGTGTATGCATCTGTGTACAGTTGTATCTGTACATGGATGTGTGCAGATGTGTATGTATACAGATATACAGAAATACACAGATATGTGTGTACGAATGTGTGGATATGGATGTGTGTGTATAGTGATGTGTACATGGATGTGTCTATATGTAGACATGTGTATGAATGTGTCTATAGATGTGTGTGAAAATGTGTGTAAAGACACACATATGTATATATACAGATGTATGTATATGAATGTATGTGTACAGATATGTCTGCATCTGGATGTAGATGCTCACAGCTCTTCCTGCTGACAGGCACATCCTAGCGCCGGCTTTCTCCAGTGTGTATCAGAAGCTGCGCGGTGGTGTCAGAGCTTCCTCAGGGTGCACATGAACAAGGTGAGCACAGAATTTCTCTCCCAAACCACAACACTTTGCAGTTAAAGAGAACACTAGTCACAAATGTGTCAGGTCAGCAGGCATAAACTGGGGCTCTCCAGGCAACCCAGGACCCAACACCCACACACCAGGGCAGGGGGTGCCAAACAGAACACTTCCCACACCAACCTTAAATCCCACAAATTTTAAGGTTGAACCCAAGCCTCAAACCCCTGGGCCCAGGGATTCAAGGTTGAATCCAAGCTCTGGCACTTTGTATTCATGAGCTCACCTGCCTCAGTTTCCTCATCTTGTATGGGGTTACAAAGAGGGCTTGAAGAAGGGACCTCCTGTCTGCTGGAACAGGCTCCAGAAAGTTACAGAGCACAGGCTGTTACTGTAATTGTGATGAGTCTGGGGCGGATGGAACTAGAATTTCTCCAAAGGCAAATAAACATTTCCAGGCTTCAGACAGCTCTACATGGAGCAGCAGGAAGGTCTGAGGGGAGGTACAGGCAATCTGTGCTTGCACATTTAGTAAATAACAAGACATACAAGGGCCCCTGGGAGTTCTCCAAATGAGGCAGAAATCTCGGCCATCAGACAGGTGGGGCCTTAGGAGGAAGATGGCTCTCCCCTGACATGGGCCTTCTTCCCACCCAGGCTGATGGCACAGGTGGAAGTGGAGAGGGTATTTATACAGCAAGACATCCAGCCCCAGCTTCAGATGCTCCACTCCAGCCCTCTGAGAAGACACTGGAAACTGAGGCAGAATTGGGAGATCCATTGCTGAACATGCCCAGTGGTCATGCCTGGCAGGATCAAGTCTAAAGCTGCTATTTGTACCCTGGCTGGAGTGCAGTGGTGCGATCTTGACTCACTGCAACCTCCACCTTCCAGATTCAAGCAATTAACCTGCCTCAGCCTCCTAAGAAGCTGGGCCTACAGGCATGCACCACAACACCCAGGTAAGTTTTGTATTTTTGGTAGAGACAGGGTTTCACCTTCTTGGACAGCCTGGTCCCAAATTCCTGACTTCATGTGATCCTCCTGCCTCACCTCCCAACATTCATACCCTTTTTGAAGTCACCGATCTGCTTGAAAAGGGGATAGAAGTTTTAAATCTTCTCCCCAAGATGGAGGAGACAGACACAAAACTTCAACACAATAACAAGGGCTTCAAGTGACTAAGCTCCATCCAGGTACCCTTGGATAAGAACCCTTGAAAAGCACCTACTAAGATGAAAATGAGCCTGGACAACATAGTAAGACCCATCTCCACAAAAAAGAAAAGAAAAGAGAAACAATGGAAGGATATAGTGGCACAGGCCTTAGCCCCAGGTACTTGGGAGGCTGAGGCAAGAGGATCGCTTGGGCCAAGGGGTTCAAGGCTGCAGTGATTTAGGATCATGCCATTGCATAGAAGACCTTGTAAAAGAAAGAGGAAAGTGGGGGGAGAGAGAAAATGTGGGGGAAGAGGTAGGGAAAGGGAAGAAAAGAAGTAGGAAGAGGAAAAAAGAGGGAATAGAGGGAGGGAGAGACAGCAAATTATCTGTTCACCACAGAATAATTGTAAAAGAAGAAACCTGGGAAAAACTCAAGAGCACTTCATTATGAAACTAGCTGAAAACATTCCATTCCATGGACCATTACATGGTCATTCACACCACACTGGAGACACCGATTTTTTTAGGTGGATATATTAACTCCATGTGCTGACTGTGTGCATAGATCATCTCAGAAAGGAATCACCAAAGAAACCCTAACAGTGGTTGGCTTTCAGGAGGAGTCGGGGAGCAGCTTTAAGGCCACACCAGCACCAACCAATAAAACTTTTTGCAATGAGGACCATGTTTCCAGGCCATCTGCAGCTGTGGAGCACCTGAAATGTGGCCCAGGCAGCCAAAGAACCAAATCCTTCATTTTCTTTAATGTTAATTTATTTAGATTTTTTTTTTCTTTTTTGAGATGGAGTCTAGCTCCGTTGCCCAGGCTGGAGTGAAGTTGCGTGATCTTGGCCAACCACAACCTCTGTGCCCCAGGTTCAAGCAGTTCTCCGGCCTCAGCTTCCCAAGTAGATGGGGTTACAGGGGCTCACCACCACACCCGGCTACTTTTTGTGTTTTTAGTGGAGATGGGGTTTCACCATGTTCATCAGGCTGCTCTCAAACTCCTGACCTCAGGTGAGCCACATGACTCGGCTTCCCAAAGTGCTGGGATTACAGGCATGAGCCACCATACCTGGCCTCACGTAGATTTCAATAAACACATATGCCACTGGCTGCCATGTGGGAGACTCAGTTCTGTACTCTTTCATAGTTTTTGAACTTTGAATCATTTAAGTGCATTGCCTATAGTTTTTGGTTGTAGAACTTAGAATAGTATTTAGATTATATTAATCTAAATAAAATCTACCTACCATAGATTTAAATTGTACCAGCAAACGCTGATATATAAAAAGATTTCCAAGGTGTGTGTGTGTGTATGTGTGTGTGTGTGTATGTGTGTATTACGTGTGCATGTGTATATCTATATGTAGTATATTCCTTTTTTTTTTTTTTTTTTGAGTCAGAGTCTTGCTCTGCCACCAAGTCTGGAGTGCGGTAGTATGAACTTGGCTCACTGCAACCTCTGCCTCCAGGGTTCAAGTGCTTCTCCTGCCTCAGCTTCCCAAGTCACTGGGATTATAGGCACACACCACCACACCCAGCTCATTTTTCTATTTTTAGTAAAGAAGGCATTACACCATGTTGGCCAGGCTGGTCAACTCCTGACCTCAAGTGATACACCTGCCTCAGCCACCCAAATGCTGATGATTACAGACATTAGCCAGCATGCCCAGCTGCAAAGGTGTATTTTTGAGAAAAAAGAACAAGGTGCAAACAAAAAATAGGGAATAGCTGGGGGTGGTGGCTCATTCCTGTAATCCTAGCGCTTTGGGAGGTTGAGCTGGGAAGATCGCTGGAGCCCAGAAGGTCGAGGCTGCAGTGAGCCATATTTGCACCACTGCCCTCCAGCCTGAGTAATGGAGCAAGACCCTGCCTCAAGAAAAATTAAAATTAAAAAATCAAAACGTAAGCCTGACGATTGGGTTTTTATGCTATTTTATAATATGTGCCTTCCTCAAAACTTGTTACGGTATCATCACATCACCCATCTGATGCAAAAAAGAAAAAATAAAACCCAGGAACTCAAACTAAAAATATTTGCAAATCTAAAGCATTAGGCATTGTCCTTTGTCTTCCCAAAAGACGCTGAAGCCGTATGCTGCAGGGTCTGTGGATGTGACCTTATATGGAAATAGGCTTTTCACATGTGATCAAGCTAAGCTGAGGTAATGAGTGTGAATCCTAATCCTGTGTGCCTGGTGCCCTTATAAAAAGGGATATGTAGCCAGGCGCGGTGGCTCACGCCTAT